ATAGGACAGTTTCAATAATTAATACATTGCCTTCAGAAATCCTTTATGAAATATTGGTCAAGCAAATCTGGCAACATGTAAAAAGAATAATGCACTTGAGCAAGAGAATTTTTCCTAGGAATGTGAGGCTTATATTTGAAAATCAATCAATATAATCTAGTCTACCATATTGGTAGTATGAAGAAGGGAAACCACATTATTTTATTAATAAAAATAACTCATTTGATAACATTCAACATACGTGCATCATTTCAAAAAAGACTGTAAAGCATATGGGGGTGCGTGGTATATGGGGGTGGGTCTCCTGGGGAAGCTGCCTCCATGATGCAAGGAATATGGCTTGTCTAGATAGAAGGTCATGAAAAAATCTTAAAAAAAAGAAGCCATTAGGTGAGGTTAGCAACACGCAAGATACAAGGCCAGCATACAAATATCAACCATATTTCTGTGCCCCAGTAATGAACAATTGAACATCAAACAACGGGAGATATAATTTTACTAGCTCTAAGGAATAAAGTGTGAAACAAAAAATGAAAATGAAAGCATATACAAGATTTGTATATTGAAAACTATAAAACATTTATGAAGATATGAAGGGGGGAAGGGACATAAAAAGAATTAAGATGTGTTATGTCCATGGATCAACTCCCCATGATGAATGAAATCGTTATGGATTCCAAATGTGTACTAATAAAAATAAAAAGGGAAAAATGAAATAAATAAAAGATACACTGAATAAATGAAGAGACATGCCGTGTTCAAATATTAGAAAAGTGCAGCATAGTAAAAATGTCTTCTTTTTCGCCTAAGTGATCTATAGAGTTGATACACTTCCATCAGAATCGTCGCAGGATCTTTTTGCAGATAAGACAAGCTGATTTCAAACTCTTATGGAAAAATAAATAAGCTATAATAGCCAAGAGAATTTGTTTACTTTTTTATTAGATTATAACATATTCAGGCATATTGTTCAACAACGAGGATGCATTATTAGAAATGCACTGTTAAGCAGTTTCCCATCACGGTGTACACAGAAGCTGAGATGGCCCAGCCTGCTACATACAGCCTACTGCTCCTATAGCTAAAAGAGTATTCAAAAAGAAAAAGTTGAAAGTATTGCTCTTATATTATCTCCAGTACCCAAGATAGCACAGTATTGGTGAAGGGATACACAGATCAGCCCACATAAAGAATCCAGAATATCACAAATATAGCTAAGGAATTTTTAAGTTAAAAATTTAATGAGATAATTATAGATTCATATACTGTTGTAAGAAATAATACAAAGATCCCCATGTACCTAACTGTAAATTTTTTTAACTGTAGTAAAATAACATTGGTGACATTGACATTGATTTTATTCAAGTTCTACAGTTTTACGTGTGTGTGTGTGTGTGTGTGTGTGTGTGTGTGTGTGTATTTAGCTCTACACTATTTTATCACATGTGTAGATTCTTGGGTCTATTACCACAGTGAACAGTTTTTCACTACATGTATCTTTCATATCTGGATGATCCCTTTCCATTTGTTGAAAAAGCTATCCATTCATTCAATTGCTTTTGCACCTTTGTCAAAAATCAGTTGTAAACTTTGTGTAGATCCATTACAAGATCCCCCATTCTGTTACATCCATCTGTGTGTCTGTCCTTCCAATACTATCTCTCTCTGTGGATTTTTGTATCTACAGAGTGAGTCTTTACATCAAGTAGGGTACCTGATTCTTCCTACTTCATTTTTCTTCTCCAAAATTGAGTTAGCCATTCCACAGCCTGTGCCTTTCTATGTAAATCTTCGAGTAATTTTTTTTTAACTTCTAGAAAATTCTCTTCTAGGATTCTCATAGGAACTGCATTAAAGCTAGTGATCATTTGAGGAGAAATGAAATCCTTGATATATGTTCAAGTCTACGTACAAGGTATATCTCATGAATCTAGGTCTTCTTTCAATGCCTTTGTCCACATGTCTTAGTATTAAACACACATCTCACACAAGAACTCAAGACCTGGTGAATTCCCATGTATTTTATGATGTTTATACCTAAGTACATAATTTTCTGTGGAGCAAATATGAATGCTCCAGAATTTGGGAGGTTTTAATTTTGGTTCTTATGTGTTCATTCTCTTCTTCTTATGGGATTTCAGTGACACCAATTTTAAACTTTTTATTGTATAACAGGTCTCTGAGGTCTGTTATTTTTTAATTTTTTTATTGTTCAGATTAGTTACTTTTTGTTGTTCTATCCTCAGGAGTACTATTATTTCCATTCTGTTGCTAAACCCATTCAAGGAATTGTATTTTTTTAATTATGCTTATAATATTTTTCAAAAAAATCTATTTTTATATCTCTCATTTCTTTTGAGGAGTTCTGACTCTCTAGTCAACAATATTTATCCTTCCCTTCCTTCCTTCCTTCCTTCCTTCCTTCCTTCCTTCCTTCCTTCCTAGCTTCCTTCCTTTGTCCCTGGAATCAAACTCAGGACCTTCCACTTGCCAGGCAAGTACTATTCCACTGAGCTATATTCCTGGCACTTTGACCTTATTTACTGGGGTCTCTTGAAAGTTTTCTTTTGATTATCACTTCCCACATGATTTTCTTGGTTCTTTGCATGCTGAGTAATTTTAGATTTGTAATATTACAATCTTATACACCCTGTAAATCTTCTTTATGGGTCTGATTTACATTCTATGAGTATTCATGTGTGTGTGTGTGTGTGTGTGTGTGTGTGTGTGTGTTTTAGTATTTAATTGACACAGTTGAGTTCATGCTTTAAATTCCAGCCAGTCTTCTGTAGTTGTCATTGACATTTCATTGTAGAAAGGTCCTGCATTGCTGTTTGAGTCAGTCTTGCATACACACCAGCTAGTTTCATGCTTGGGCATTGGGTGAGAGTTCATTTTATGGTTCAATTCTCAGTGATTATGGACATGTTATTTAGTGTTAAATTATATGCTATGCATATGCTACATGCATAGCAGTAGGAAGTCATGGGGTTGCCTGTCTGAGCTCCTTTCCTTTCGTGATCACCCTTGTCTTTATAGGTTTCTTCTCTTTTGGTCCTCCAGCCAGGAAACTTTATTTATTCTGTTCATCTACATTTTGCCATACTGCAACTACATGTGCAAACAGTCAGAGGGCTGAGTATGAAGGAGTTGCATCTCATATAGAATCATGCTTCCACCACTGTCACGGAATGCCTTTTGGGCCAGGGTGCACAAGCATGGGGAAGAATAAGAAAAGAACAAACAAAACTGAGGCTTTACTTCTGTCTCCTTCCTGTGTATCAGAAGTGTTTCATCTCAAAACTGACTGTGTTACTGCTCACTTCCAGTTATCAGGGTGGGTTTTAGCTCTGCATGGGGAGTAGTGGGAAAGAGCAAAAGGATAAACTCACCATTATGTCAGTAATAGGTCACATTTTGGTATTACTTGTTTATCCTGCTACTCTTTACTTTTCAGGATCCACAAACATGTGCCTTATGCTTCCTGTCTAGGTTTTATGGCTGTGTTCAGTGGGAGAAACACTCAACAGTAGACTTTGCTTATTCTATGTTCTTGGAATTAGAACCCATGTCATTGCTTTTTGTTCAGTGCATTAATTGATGAGGGAACCAATATAATGTAAATAGTGGTTCAAAGGAGAGTTGAGGTGCAAGATATTTATATCCAGCATAACTAAGAACATTGTAAAAAAAACACTGAATAAGGTACAAAACTGGATAATGTATAAATTGTAAACTTTGGGTATAGTTTTCCATTGACTAGGCATTATTTTTATCATTGTAAAACAAAAATCTACATGTTAACTAGTAATTCTTTAAGTTCAGAACTTACAGTTAGTAACAGATAGTATTTTTTTATTTTTACTACTTATGTGTCTCTCAATAAATATTGTATGAGTCTTTGCTTCTATATTACTTGAAAATTAAATGCATTATTTTATCCTTCCCATGTCTTGGGTAATTTCCCTTAAAAATAGTGCTCTGGATTCTTCTAGAAGGTTGCAACTGATGCACGATATAATATGGAACTAAGGAGTATGATCAAAAACTACAGTCAACATTACAGTGTTTCTAAAACTTTATTGCCGTAAAAGACACACTGCCACTGATATTTTTGAAAGTGCTCCCTCTAGTATTAAACACTCATCTCATCATTCCTGCCAGTTTCTGAAGCAGTTCTGGAAGTCTCTCTCATGAGTGTCCGTAATGGGGCCAGTGAGATGGCTCAGTGGAATAGGTGTTTCCCTGGCAAGCACAAGGGCCTGAGTTCAATCCCCAGTTCTGAAAAAAAAAAAAAAAAAAAGAGTGTCCATAGTTGCACTGCCGTGGTGTCTTGATGCCCTGAATCAATTAAAAATGTTTTCTTTTCATCAGCATCTTGTCTAAAGAAAAACCAGAAGTTGCATGGTGCCAGAGCTGGTGAATAAAGTTGGCGAAGATAGGCCAGTGTTTTAGGAGCCCGCCTTTCCATGGGATGGCTCTCACGTAATTGTTTAAAATCACAGATAGTAAAGACACTTGTGAAAGAAAACTTCCAGAACTGCTTCAAAAAGTTACAAGAGTGATGGGGAGATGTGTTCAAACGCAAGGGGAATATTTTGGGGATTAACAGCAGTGTGTCTTACAATAAGAATTTTTTAAAATTTAAAATTTATGCTTAAATTTTATCTTAAACTCTCTAAGAAGGCATATTAGTGTTTTCAATTCAATAAATACTTACTTTATGACTACTGTGTGTCAGATGCCTTGCTAGGCAATAGTGAAAAAACCTAATATAGAATATTTACAATGTCGATTAATAGCATAGTAATCTTTGCAAAATTAGTTTCTCTAGTATAATATAAATTCTAAAAATGAATATTTCAAAACTATGAATAGTATGATTATTGAAGTGTAAAATACCGTATTCCTGTGATTCTCTTCAGATTTACTTAGAGTATTGTTAGCATTTGCCCATTGTTTAGCAGAAGGTATGATTTTGATTGTTATTCACTCTCAAGAAAAGCCAGAGGGAAAAGGGAAGAGGAGAAAATAAGAGAGGAGGAAGAGGTCCTCGCAATACCAAAGCTGGCTGGAGAAGGTGGCCCTGAGAAAGAATGGTACCCTCCCTCTGACCCTGGCTTCTGCACATATGTGTACGAAGTGACCAAGTCAGTCCTGCCCATGACCAATATTAAGGAGCAGATTGAGGCTCTGGCCAAGTAAGTTCTCTCTGTAGACATACACATTTTTATTTATTTATTTTTATTCATACATGTTTGCAGTGCCTAATGTTTGCATTCCTTTTGGGAAGTTGGTAGATTACAAACTACATCTTAATTCCTTTTTCATTCCCTTCCTTTCCCTGTCTCTCTCCCTCCCTTAATCTCTTGATCCTCTTGCCTTTTGAGAAGGATCTGTCCCCTTACTTCCTATTATCTATCCTTTATTTTGCCCTTTATTTACACTTTGGTTTCTTATGTAAGAGAAATCATATGGTAATATAAGTTTGTGTGCCTGGTCTACTTCACTTACCATTATGGTCTCAAAGTGCCTCCATTGTCCCACTCAAGCTTGTCTTTCTTTATGGCAGAGTAGTAGTCCATTGTGTGTAAATACCACATTTTCCTTATTCACCCATTCATCCTTTGATGGACATATAAGCTGCTTCCAAGGTTTAGCTAATGATTGTGCTGCTATAAACATGGAGCGGCATGTGTTACTGTTATATGATGTCTTTTACTTATTTGGGAAAGATACTAGAAGGGGAATAACTGGATCAAATAGGATTTTTGATCCCAGATTTTAAGGAATGTTCATATGATTTCCATAGTGGTTTGCTAGCTTACATTTCCACCAACAATGGAAAGAGTTCCTCTTTCCTGTGGCCTTTCTTATTTGTTGTTATTTGATTTCTTGATGATGGCAATTCTTTCTGGAGTAAGATGAAATCTCAGTATTGTTTTCATTTGCCTTTCTCTAATGGCTGGAAATGTTGAACGTTTATGTATTTCTTGGCTATTTGTAGTATTCCTATGAAATATCTCCTTATTTTACTTGTCCGTGTTTTGACTAGGTCTTTTATTTTGGAGGTTGTTATGCTTTTGAGTTCTTTATGTGTTCTACATACTAGTTTTGTATGTGAGGAACAGCTGGTAAGGACTTTTTTCCCCATTGTGTTGGTTGTCTTCTCACTCGGCTGTTGTTTCTTTCTGTGCAGAAGGTTTTTTATTTAATATAATCCCATTTGTTGGTTCTCGGTAACATTTTCTGTGTAACTGCTGTTCTGTGCAGAGATTAAGGTTAAGTGTTTCTGTTTGAACATTTAGTTTTCCAATCCATTTTGATTTTATTTTAGTCAATGGTAAGAGATAGAGATTTAGATTCAATCTTCTGCATGTGGAGAGCCAGTTGTTCCTATTTATTAAGGAAGCTATCTTCCTTTTGTCAGTTTTCTTTTTTTAGCCAATTTTTGAGAAATCCACCACAATAAAATTGAACTTTACAGCGTCCTAGCTTCAACTCTGAGTCAGAAACATAATGAATTGATAAGGACCTCAGCGTGCATGCTAGCTCACTTTTCCATGAAGAATTGGAGCTAAGAGCTAGAAATTACTGAGAAAAAAGCCTGTTATGTTCTCCAGTCAAATCATCCAAAACATCTTTCAGTGTTCTTAGAGGAGTTATAGGTCAAAAATTTGAGAATTAAATCACTCCTTAAGTGCATGAAGTGATCATAATGTTAAAAAAAAACCATAACATGAATTATTTATAAATTCACAAAAATTTTTAGTACAAATAAACATCCCCTATTTTTCGGTTAGCTGGCTGGTATTCTTGTGCTCTGCCTTGCCCTTGTGTGGAGGGTGACAGTTCTCATAGCTGGCTGCTGGGCCAGGTAGGAACCGTGGCGGTGTCCTCTTCTACAGTGCAACAGCTGCTTCTGCTAGGAGCACACCTAGCGACGGAAGGTCGCTCCTGCACTGTTGGAGTGAGGGAGACACCAGCTCACTCTCCCTGGCAGTCTGTATGTCCTCTGAGCAGAAGGCAGCAGCAGTCGTTAGAATTGGATATGACGATAAGTGTCACCGCTGACAGATCATTGACTGGACAAGAGCACTTTTGGTGACTGAAGTTTTTCTGGTGCCCTTTAGCAGTGGTCTTTGAGTCAGCTCCTGAACACATTTGTCAAATTCCCTCACACTTCCTTCATCTGAGAGGTACTTTTCACCCCTCCCAAATGATCATCTCCTTTAACCTGGGCTGGAAACAGGCCAGGAAGAGAGACAGAGGGGCGAGAGGCAGAGGACAGGTCCCCGCCTCTGCTTCCCCGATGCCAGCCACACACCCAGGTTGCGCAGGGCTCAGGACATTCCGCAGACCTCTCCTTCACTCACTTCTTCCTTTGGTTTTTACCACTGACTTCAGAGCAGCTGGAGGAAATTCTTTAAAGTACAGGCTGCTTAGTGGCCAGAGGATTCCTGCAGATGTGCTTATTAAAGCCCTTGGTGAGAGCTCACTATTAGGAAAGTTTCTCACCTCCTTCACTACCCAGCAAACAGCTTTTTGTCTCTTGCTCCTTCTCTTCCTTTC